GTGTTCGGGGAGGATATAGCGAAATTCAAACGATCGAAGCGTCGACCCGTGACACCAAGCGGTCAAGAATCGCGTAGACATAGCGCGCATAGGGAAGATTCCAGAGAGAGACACTGAGAGGGATATTTGCTGGAGTCAGGATCGGTGACTAGAGTGTCACTGGAATCACTTTACGATTAAAAACGATATGTGATACAGACGAAACAAGTCGCGTTGAAAGATATCAATTTCCTTAAGGGATAAAGGAGGGAATAACAGATACGATACGATAAGTAAGAAACGTGTAAATAGAGTAAAAAAAAGAAAAAAAAATGAAGACTACGAAGCTTCGTTTTTCGCAAAAAAGAAAAAATTCCTTTATCGTTAATCGTAATATTATTTTTCACAATGCGATTCCTGTTTAATTCACATGAAATTGTCTTCCTCGTTCTTCGCTCGCGATTCACTTTCATATCGAAATATTGCATTATATCATATATACACGTATGTTCTCATTGAAATCTCATTATATTTTCTTTTTACGATTATTATTCTTTGCACACAATTTGCGATTTCGACGTTACGTAGGAAAGGAAGAGAGAAAAAAAAAAAAATTGAGGAACGGAGTTGTCTAGTAATGGCACAATTTTTCAATTTATAGGACCAAGGTGTCGAGCGATAAACGACGCCTAGATGTTATAACTCAATTTCGATGTTTGTTCTTTTTCTTTTTTTTTTCGTTCGATCGAAATCGAGATGGTGGAAATTTTATTTTCGATTGTCGCACACGTCAATTAAAACTGACCAAAATCGCGTAAAAATTTGGGAAATCGAACAAGTGAGCGAGCACACAGTTTGTACATTGTTAAAAGAGCGTTTTTTACGTTACGAGTCAAGAATTATCACGCGATTATTTTCTGTATATAGTCATTAATAGATTCGTTAAGGTAGTCCGCGTTTGATGACAAGTGATTTCGCAAAACTTCGACGAAGTAACATCAGGACCAAGGAGAAGGAAATAACGAACAATAAGAAAACGCAACGCGATCCTAAGGACGATAGACTTGTTACAATTTTGAGAAAGACTATAAAAGAATTTCTTAAACGAATGAATTTTCGACGAATTTCTTATTGGAATTCTATTTAAATCCTTTTTGAGAAACGACACGCTTTTTGTATACCAAGAAACATACCAATAGGGGCTTTTGGGGCGCAATTTCTAATATTTCAGCCCCGCGAAACTTACAAGTCTGATTTTTGTATTTTATAGGAAAGGACCTAAGCATCGATTAGATTATTTAGGGGCTCGAGTTAATAATTGCCAAGTCGTTGATGGAATCCGTGTTAGTTTTCGATGTGTAGACCAGAAAGAGAGAGAAAAAACAGAGAGAGAGAGAGAGAGAGAGAGAGAAAATTTAGATAAAAAAAGAGTACATTGTATAGTAGTCGATGTTTTGTAAGCTTTTGTATTTTTGTAAATATTCAATATCGATGTCTCAGTTCTTGCGGATGGCGACGAAAACTCTGCAAGAATCAATGTTCAGTTAATATATTACTGCGTCCTTAATATCACATGTACTAATATATAAAGAAATATACCGAATAAACGTAAAATTCAAATCATCGGTGGCCTTTTTCTAAATTTCGATATTTTTTTCTTTCTTGTTGAAATCGAAGAATGGATTTCGGAATAATTTCTATACTTCTTTTTTCTTTTTTCTTTAATTATCTTCTAGCGATATAAAAAATACCAGTCTTCGATAAGTTATCGATGGAGAACAAGTTGCACGAATTCCAACAGGAAGTTAGCAGACAATACAAACGCTGACTTCCTTCGTAAGCAATCGGTACATTCATAGATGTCGCCATGTTATCGAATGTTGACTCTTCGTAGCTAATTCCTTCTATAAATTTTTATTATTTATGAAACATTTAACGATAATTAATCAGAAATTTATTTTTCCACGACGAAATATATATTTTTATTTCGTTAACTACTTTGTAAAATTGCGACAAAAAGGAACTAGATTGAAAATTAAAAAAAAAAAAAAAAATGAGAATCAAACAGATAACAAACAAAAAGGGTACAAAAAAAAATTCGATATATATTATAAATTTCTAACCGTATTAACAATGTTCGGACATTCGTTAAAAAATTTAGGCCGCGAATTTATTTTTATATCGCGCAATTCTAAATTCTGCGCGATAATTAATAAACTTTTAATTATTTTTTCGCGTCAAAGGACTTTCTATATCGGGTGCCATTATCGCGAGGAGGAAAAAAATTTCACAATACATCGAAGCCCATAATTCGTTTTTTAAATGAGAATTATCGAGTGCAGTTCAACGCGTCCCCTGAAAAATCCAAGGGCATCATTAGACGTAATTGTTGGCCTTAATGAAACAAAGTCTTGCCGCATCGTTAATATAGCGAAAGCAGAAAGCAGTTTACTGTCACGACCCTTTATTTCCACGCAACTTGCTCCAAGTTTTTCCGAATACCGCAAAAGGAATCATTGTCCCCGCCTTTAATTAATTGCACATCGATACCAGTGTGCAGCATATAAAATATTTAGACGAGATATGTCTCGCATCGAGGTGAGAAAATATGGATAACAAGGCAGTATCGTTTTGTTCAGAAATTTTATTTATTACATACACTAGCCGACTACTATGCATGCGTTGGGGCATTCGGATACAGGGAAATTCGCTTGAGATCCGAAGCGCGTTGTTAAATGTTTATCTCACAAACAACAGCGTTATTTCCTTTCGTTACTTTTTTTCACCTTTGTCTCTGTGGAGCGTGTGGTTACAATCATCCCTCGTTTAAATTGTTTCGTTTAAATTATAGTGCGTTACGTTATGTGTTATGGTCCGGCCGATCCAAGACGAACGAAACCCTCTGCCTAATTCTGAAATCGTTCCTCGTTCCAGTCAAGATCGAGGAATAGTTACCATTTTTATCGAAAAAAAAAAAAAGAAAAAGAAAAAAAACGAAAAAGTGTGACGCGATCTAGAAGAAGTAAATATTATTGAAAACACGATACGACGATGAACACGAAAAAACGCAAAGAGACTCGTCCGACTTAAGGTGTCTCGTAACCACATATATTCGCATTTATATTTTTTTTCCTTATATATATTTATATATATATATATATATTTTGTATTTATATATTTATATACAGTGGGCGGGGGTAAGGTAACGGCGCCAACGGGGCGTGAAAATCGGCCTCGTATAGTGGAAGAATAAAAATTACATTTTAATATATTTGTGGAAACAACGTTTACTTCGGTAGTTGCTTTGCGTTAACCGTAGGATGCAGGGCGAGAGGAAATATTTCCAAAGAATTTTATTCCCATTTTTTTTTTTTTCTTTTTAAACGAATCTCTAAGATTAGCATATCGAAGAACGATATACGTTTTGAAGTACGAATCGAGCGTAACGAATATCTTGCTACGATCCTCTTTATCCCCAATCACGTTTTCAAAGTTTCACGAATTTCAGAAATTTCCACGTTGACGCGTAAATTGCATCCTACGATCAATTCTAATCAGCCTGTGGACCTTCCCCGCCCGTCCGTCAAGGCGCCATTACCCAGACAAACCACACCTCACGTAGTTGTGTATCCGTAAATAAAGTATAATGCCTTACCAATCTAGAACTTATACCTTATATTATATTGCACATTTGACAACAGTTACGTCTTAAGTACTTGAGTATAGGAAGTGTTCGCTAATAAACATTTTCCGTTGCACTCTCTCCCTCTCTCCCGTGAATATTCCACCTCTTCACTTCATTCTCGCCTTATATTAACTAACTCTCACCGTATACACTTTAATTAATCAATTAATCCGCGGTTGTGGAATTTCTGACACGCTTTCCAACACGCTTGTCCCTGAATGGAAAGAAGGATATACATATATATATATATCCCATCGAAAACAAACGTCGGATAAGAAGACATGCTGCTCGAGGTTCAACTTCGATGTATCTTGCTTGATATTATTTTAATTCATATATGTATAACTCGTCTCACTCGTGGTAATTTATTTATCTTGTTGTTCGTTGCAAATCGTTCGGTAATCTCTTAAAGGCGAAATCTTCGTTTCAAGGTAACGCAAGCATACTCGCGCGCTCTTTCATACACAGGCACTCCCTTTCTCTCTCTCTCTCTCTCTCTCTCTCTCCCCCTCCCCTCTTAATACATAACCACGTTGCAGCATACACGCGTCGCCATACATATGTATATATTTATACTCGCACTATTTAAAGCGGCTATTACTCCTAATTAGTCGATTCGCCCAGACCACTCGCCGTCGATTCACCGGCGCGACTCGTTCCAGCGGTCGGCCAGTGGAATATCGCGCCCCCAACGATTTCCCGCGATTTCACTCGATCCTCGCGTTCGACATCTCATCGCGGTCGCGAGGCGCGCGAGATTTTCGAGGCGTGCCTCCCCTCTCCCCCTCCGAGGAACGCAGCGAATCGCGAGAACGAGCCGGTGTCGAGGCGAGGTGGAGGCGAGCATTGTCACACCGCGATCGATGATTCGTCATTGTACTTGGCCGTCCATAGGCCACCGTTTCGTTGAATGAGGAAGTAATTCCGGCTCGAAGTAATTCTCGTTGCTTCGTCCCCCTTCGTGATCGACGTCCACCTCGTCCACTATCGTCCTATTTCGTTTCCTGTTTCGAAGGTGAAACGCGCGAAACGCGAGAATTGGAATAGGCCATGGCGCGGTTATCGATCACGGGCTTCGATGATTCAGCCTGATCGTAACGACTCGTATTCGTTGTGTCGTGTAATACACGTATACGCACGGTATACTCCGTGTATATCCGTCTGTACATATTCTCTTAGCAATAGGTACCTTCTAGATAGACGTTTACCCTGATTCGTTGAAATCGAAGTTAACTCGATGATATTTATATGTGGAAAATGCACGAAGAATTCTCTTTCTCTCTTTCTCTCTCTCTCTCTCTCTCTCTCTCTCTCTCTCTCTCTCGATTGGCAAAGATCGGGCGGGAAACATGATTTTCCCGGGAACATTGATGTATATATATATATATTATATTTCGTGATCCCCCGAGTCGAATATCGGAGATTCGCGTGGATGATTCGCGAAATTATCAGGGGAACGTGAACTGTTAAAGTTTCGAACGTGATTGTGTTCTCTCTAAGTTAATCGAACGTCTCCTAGTTCCGATGATTCGTGTGAAAGGAATGTCGATGAAACGATGATTAAACGGGGGCGTGAAGCGTGCTCGATTGTGGGCCTGTTGGATACGAGGTGCTGGTGGGTGCAGCCGTTGGTTGTAGGCTCAATTGCAGCTGATGCTGCTGAGCCTTCGCCCTTAAACAGGCGATGCTCTCGTTCCTCAGCTGCTCCGTGTCCTGAACGATTCCTGATCAACACAAGTTTCACCAAGTTAATTTTAGTTTCCATTAGAGAGAGAGAGAGAGAGAGAGAGAGAGAGAGAGAGAGAGAGAGATGGTTGGAAAGTTGATCGTAAAATCACCTTACTATTGGTTTCCTTATTAAGAGAGGGAAGGAGACGATTAGAGGATTGTAGGATGCAAGAGATCATCGAAAGTTTTCTACCTGTCGACGAAGAGGGCCCCATGCCGTCCTGACTCTCCTGTCCGCTCTCAGAACTGGTCGGTCCACCTTGATGATGATTATGATGGGGGCTGCTTCCGCTTCCATTATGATCGTTTCCACTGTCCTCTCCGCCTGACTTGAGGTGTTCCGCTGCTTCGATTGACTTCCGGTGCATCCCTGCGGGGCCACAGTCAATCAGTTCTTGATTATTTTCGATATCTTGACTAAAGCTGCTCGTCTTAGATGATTGAGCTGACAGAGACGAACATAAAAAAACAAAGTCGAGACTTGTATATTTTCTGCGAGGGCGGGGCACGTTCTTCATTAAGCATTGCTTTCCCCTTCAACAGTTTTTTTTCTTTTCTTTTTTTTTTTTNTTTTTTTACTTTTAACGAAAACGGATAAAGGATACGAATGATGAAAATATCTAGCTCCTCGAACGTCGCGTTTCATTATATAAGTACCTACGCTCTCGTTTCTTAAAGATGGGAGGGGAAAAAAAAAAAAAAAATTCTAAGAAATCGTCGTACGAAGTTAGCAAAACTTAATGCTTATCTCGCTCGGAATGTTTCAATGATTCTCACCTAGCAACCATGGCGCCACCGACTCGTTCTCCTTGGCACTCTTCAATATGGTCTCCGGAAGCGGTAGCGAGTGCCGCACCATAGCTCCGTACAGGCCGTACTCCGCCATTATGGTACTTCTGCCCCAACACTTCTCAGTTTTGCGCCATTTTGCTCTTCGATTTTGAAACCAGACCTGAAACGAAATACGGAAATTCCCAAGATTTATAGCTAAACCATTCACCGTCCCTAAAACTTCTTTCTCGATTCACAACATAACAATAATTTAACAACGATCGAAGCGACGCTCGAGAAAATAAGAAACTCGAAAAGGGAACGTTAAGGGTGTAAAAGTCACGTCAAGCGGAAGATCGGTTACATTGGGAAAACCGTTGCAAAGTTTCGCGACGCTTCCAAATCCCCCTTCCAAACCTCGCCGCCCATATTTTTAGACCCACTTGTCTCGTTTAATGATCATTGTCTTCTAATTGGAACGTTAGGAGCGCGACGTGCGATCAGTTTCATGCGTGCGGTTCCACGGTAGTCCGTAGTTAACTATTCCGCTTAAACGATCAACTTCCAGTTCGTTATCCTGTTTTTCGCGGTTCGGCATCCTGTTAGACTACTTGTTAACGATTCTGATCACCGGACCACCTAGGGAGGAGTCGCGTGTCGCCTCCTCCGGTCACGCTTCCATCCCCGGACGAGTTTCAACTTTAACGAGCTCGATTTCCAACAAGTTTCGCGCATTACCCACCCTCGACTTAGGCGAGTAAACTAATCGTAACCGAGAAATTAGTAATTGCGTTTCCCCGTTGCGCGAAATCCACGCACGTTTTCTCGCTTAATCCACAAACGATGAATTTTTCCCCCTCCCTGCCTGGTTATTTATCGATAACGTTTTTCGTTCGTTGCAATTCGAAACAGTGTTTTTATTTAGCTCTCGATATTGGCAAGTGATATCGAGCAAGTGGAAAATGATATTCTTATGCAATTTGTCGATGGTGGATCGCCTGTTCTGCATCCAATCCTCTATTGCCTTTTTTAACTTTTTTAACATTCGCGTTATTAACGAATATATATAAATATTATTCTCGTTTAAGTCACGAATACCTTAATATTACAGTATACGACGTAATAAATTTGTACTTTACTTTTCTGCGCCTAAATGCATTCTCTTTTTTATCCTTATAATTTAAATTAAGAATTCTATATCTCGTAAAAATTACACTTATTTGCACGAAGTCAAAATAATAAAGGAAAAGAAGGTGCACGCCTTCAAGATTATTCGCTTAAACTCGTTCATCAAATCATTCAATCCGTCAGCAACATTCTTCCCCGTATCCTGATCGTATCGTATACGTGATCGTTCGATCGTTATTTAAAAAGCGCACGAATCATTTGCAAAACGCGCGTGCAGACGTGCAGACGTGCACGTGGGGGTGGGCCGGGCCGGAGGCCAGGGCGTGTACCAATTTGTTGCAACAATGCTAAAGTCACCGGCAGAATTGGAACGTAATTCGAATGAATGGGAACGCGTTGCCCTGTCAATTTGCGCCGCCACCCCGAAATTATCTTCCGCCTAGGCTCGAACGAGCGCTGGCCGGGGCCTTTTTCCGCGCCGCTCCCTTCCACGCCACGGGAAAAAATACTCGCTATTGTTTCACCTCTAAGGAGAAACGAGCATCCAGACTCCACGTGCACAACACTTTCCAAACAGTTATCGTCGATTCCACTCCACTCGATAATTTCTCTTTGACACGGTCGATTCGAGAGAGCGCCCGATTCGATCGTAATAATTCGAAAAAGAGGAAAAAAAAAAGAAAAAAAAAAAAGAAAAAGAAAAAGGGAGACGAGAGTCGTGGAGGGATTAAAGGCTTGGTCGCGCGAATGGTAATAGTGGCGCGAGAAAATTCTGAAGGGAAATCTCTCATTGATCGGTGGCCGGTCGTCCCATTCACTGACGCGTAAATGACTGTGCCGCGATCATAAAGCTGTTATTCGATTTTCAAGAGGCTTCCTCGCGACAGCGATTGCATTCAACGGCGATAACCGGCCCGTTCACGGTGACCGACGCCGAGAATCGAGTTTAAACGACTTTTCCTCCGGGTTCGAGGCATCGTTCGTTCAATCCTCGTTCCTATCCTCGACAGTCCTTCCACTTTTTTCCCTCGTTGGAAGCATTCGTCGTTTCCACGTGGCGGAACAAACTGCCACTCGTTCGTAAGAAAGCTCGGAATAAACTATCCGGGAAGTGTTTGGTCCTCATAACAGCATCGGAGGATTGCTTCACGGCCGAGCGAACGCGATAACGCGAGAAAGTTGTTGCAAGTGTGATGCACACGCGCTCCTCTTACGAGCGCGTAGCTCGTGAAACGAGACGAGGGGGAGGGAAAAATTTGGTTGGATTGGAATCGGAGGTGGAAAATGTTGGAGGATCGGGAATCGGGATTATCCTTGGATACGGCATCGTGGGATAGGTTACCGAGAGAACGAAGACAGAGAGTTGGAAGGATATACACAAGGCAGGGAAGGCAGGGGTGGTTGGGGAGGGTCCTGCATTGCAGAAGCAGCGGTAGAGGCAACCGGGAACGCGGAGGAGGAAGAGAGGATCCTTTATGGTGGCATTCGTCGACTCGAAGGAGCGAGAAACTCCGGCGGAGTTGGGCTTCTCTCGCCTTCTCCTCCTCTCCCATTCTCTGGCCCGCCACCACCCCCTTTATTGGCACACCCGGTATAATAAGGAGTGAGTTTGTATTTAGTCGGCCATGCGCAGTGCTGGCTGTTGGCGTATCATCGATCAGACCGGCGACTGACTATTGGACCAAAACAAGAGGATGAGAATGGGAATGGGAATAAAGAGAGAGAGAGAGAGAGAGAGAGAGAGAGAGAGAAAGAGAGGGGCGACCGATATATAAAGTGTGCGACGGGAAAAGAGAGAGAGAGAGAGAGAGAGAGAGAGAGAGAGGAGGGAGGACGAGTGGAGAGAGGGAGAGAGCGTAAACGACAAGCCGAGAGCTCGAGGGAAGAAGACGCTGTGAACGATAGCGGGAGATGGAGAAAAGGACATCGATAGGAAGATCGAGGGAAAGATTGCCGGAGTGTCTAAGTTAAGGATGGGTCGGTACTGTGTTGGTTGGCACGGAAGAAGAAGAGATACGAGAAGAGAGAGGCGAGAGGCAAGAAGGGTGGCCGCACCATGGTATGGAGAAGAACGTGGGGACTCCGTGGGTAACTCGCTATGGATTACCGATACATCGATACATCGAGGATATATACAATTGCCAAGTCGGCAACGATCGGACGAAAGAGCGTAAGCGGACGCAAGACGCGGCAGGGGGAGGAGAGAAGAGCGGAGGAAGAGGTTCTACGAGACGGTACGGAGGTGGGGAATAGTTGTATCGAGTAGAAGAAGAGAGGAAGACGGAAGAGATAGAAAGGAAGAGAGAGAGAGAGAGAGAGAACAAGTCGACGGCACCCACCTGCCTGCTTCTTGCTGCAACACTCGAGCTCGATGCCAGCACCGATGTATTGAAACTGAGGCTGAAGAGTTGCCGTCAGGTACTAGCAGGACGAGGGTCCTCGAAGATCTACCTAACCGAAAGCTTTTTGATTTTCCGCCGTGAGAAGAGTGGCAGCCAGGCAACCGGGAATGTACCACGGGTATGAACGAAAGGAGGGGGGGGGAGGAAAGGGAGAGGGTGGATGGTGAAAGGGAGAGACGAAATTGCCAACAAAATGCGAGAAAACGAGCCCGTTATTTTTATCTTAGGTACCCGGTCGGCATTGTTCTTCGCAATCCGGGCATTCCTGTCCAGACAGACGACGTAAGGCGAATGCCTACACACCAGGCCTTCGAATCGTCGCCACAAACGCGCTACAACACCTATACACGGTTCACAAACTGATACTGTCCCAAGGATAATTGGAGATCTCGTTACTCCCCACCGGTAACTTCAATTTACGATCGACCGATAATGAGATATCGAGTTCTGGTTCTCCCTCTTTCGCCACGCCGCGCACCCACCGTCCCACGCGATCCCCTTCCCGAACCCCTGCTCGACGCCCGTCATACCGTCAAAACTCAAACCGAGAATACCGGGACGTATTAGATCCCTGTTACGTACTTATTAAACGTACTTATCTTTTTCCTTCCTTATCTCCTTTCTTCCATTTTTATCTCCGTCCCCAACGTCTTTTCCCTCTCTTACACAGATCGAAGGCGATCGTGTTACCGCTTCTCTCCGTCAGAGAATCCTCGAGGCGAGAGTTAGCCTTTGCCACCTTTGACGACTTTGTTCGAAAAAAGGAGAAAGAAACGCACGGCAAGGATAGCCGATGAAAACGGCATCGATCCAATCACCCTGTAATATCCCCTGTAATATTCTTTTACGGATCGTTTGAAATGATATACGATGATCGACGGAGCGAATAACGACACCCTCTCTCTAGATTCCCACGAAAGCAAAGCCGTGGGCGATCGGTAAGCCAATTAATCTCTTCCAACGAGTAACGCGTGCGATGCGATCCGCGAACTCGCGTTAATCCCCCGAAAAATGCATCACTTGTTCGCGGCATAATGCGTTGGACCGTTGCTCTCGTTGGTCATCGGCCAGCAAATAGTTCGGTTAGCATGGGGTTCGGATATAGACCCCGTGCTGTGAAGTGGCACGCGCCGGAACATCATTAGGCGGGACACTTGCTGGACCAAGGACCATGGGAAGGGTCCCTAGCCTTAATCACGACTTGGCCCCAACAACCAGAAAGGATCACGGGGAAGAGAATTAATATCGATCGGATCTCGATTACGACCAGTTCAATCGGTCTACGCTCTAACCAGGAATCCGAATTATTCCGAAAATTTTATTATTTCGAGAATCTACGAATCTCTCTGCTACACCAGTTGTTTCAATTTTCTTCGGATTCGATTCGATCTCTCCGCTCGACATCGATCGCTCGATTCGACAATCATCCGATTAAGACGATCGATCGTGCGCGCGAATCGACTCGTTACGCTTACCTGAACAATATTATTCCAGTTTCATTGGACGTGGCGGGTCGCGTTAACGCGATCACTATGGCCTCTGTGTTTAATCGCGCGAGAACTCTGCGACGCGCAGTAGTCGATCCAAACGAATGAAGCGCCAAACGGGAGGATCTTTCCACCGAGAAGACACGGCCTTGAATACGGCGCCG